TTTCCTTTGATTCTATCGAAATTTCTTTGTCAAAACGCAAAAGTAATTTTTAAAAAAATCTTTATTTTCACTAATTGGAATATAAAATCTATTTGAATGACTAGGATGAATATTGAAATATTCAGTCTCACTTTTATTTTGATGAACAGTGCTGTATATACATAAGAAATAGAACTCGTCTACTTCAGTATATAATATATTTTCTTCTCTTCTTTATATATATAAATATATATATATATATATATATATATAATTGACAGCTATGACATCCAAGTTGCAGACGTTTAAGGGCACGCTGTCAATCTTAAAGCTGTTTGGCATTTTCTTTGTAAGCAGCTTAATGGAAAAACTGCCAAAAAATTGTGAAAATGTGGCAAGTCTGTCAAAGACTACGTGAATTAACGGCAAAGGCGAACAAGAGAGAAGGAGAAAATAGCATCAATAGAATGGTGTTATAGTTGTTTCCATTGATTGCCACGCAATGCGAACACGTTGCCCAAATGTGGCCAAATTGTGTAGGACAGTGTACCCAATGGGCGACAGACAGAAGGACAGACAGGCGGACGGACAGACAGACAGACCGACCGACAGTTGCCACACTGTCTGCCAGTGACATGCTAATTGGAGCACGTAGCGGACAGTGGGGACAACCCAGAGCCCCAACGCAAGGTACGTAAAATGAAGAAATGCACTTAATTGGACCGAACGAAGTGCGTTAGTTTCTGCTGGCTGACAGTCGTGAATGCCATACGATTAATTAGTGAAGAGCAGACAGAGACAGGGAGAGTCAGTTAGATAGAGACAGAACATGGCAAATATAAACTATGCGCGATTTGTTTGCCATTAGGAATGCATAGATGCACGCTCCAATCATATGATATTACAAATGCAATTAAATTCTAAACTACATTTCACATTCAATTCAGATTCGATTTGGATTAGACAAAAACTCCCCAAAAAAAAAAAAAAAAAAAGGAAATGAAAATTCGTATTTGACTATTTTGGCATAAAGTTAAATGAAAGTTGATCAGCTAGAACTGTTTCATGGAATTATTGAATGTATGTAAAGTGCGGAATGTATGCACTAAAATTATGAAAGCTGCCCCAATATGACTTCAAATCAAGTTTAAACACACAAATTTATATTTTTCGTATGTGAATTTCTAGTGAAAAAGATTATTTATTTTTTATATTTAGGAAATCATTCATGACCTAATTCTATAAACAGCTTGTAACGAATTGAAGATGATTATGAATTTGATAGTTTAATATTATTATTATAAATTAATATTACTTATAATTGACTTCTTTTTTTTTCTGAGAATTATTCCCATTATTATCTACCTAATTTTGCAATCCTCATCTGTATCATATTTCCATTATTATTATAATTATGAATTTCTTCTATTCATTATTCATTTCTTATAATTTCTATTCATTTATCATTCGTTTCCAATCTTCCATTTAATTCAAATTTAATTCTTAATAATTTCACATTAACTTCAGCTTTTGGTTCAATTAACTTCCGCCCAACAGATTTACTTTGAATTCTTCCAAGAAGTTTGCCGTTTGTAGCTCATCAAAAATTAACTAGAGCATCCTCTTATTTTTTTTTTTTTTCTCTCTGCTTCTTGTCTACTCCTTTAAGCTAGCTGGCGTGTTTCTAGGAAGTTTTAAGTAACGTAAGGGCGCTTAGCCCCAACATCTAACGTTTGACACATTAAGCGGCCGCCTTTTGGCAGAGTCACAGCAAATTAACATTTTCTGTTGTCATTCTCTGACTGTCTAAGCCGCTTACGTGATATGCATAAGTTGGGCCAGCCAGTGGTAGCCCCAGTCAGCGCCAGCAGCGCCCGCAGCTCCACAGACTATCCTCCACGCTCTCTCTCTCTCTCTCTCTCTCTCTCGACTATCCGCGCTCATTTGGCTGGCTCCACCTAATTAGCGTCGGAATTGGCAAAAGTTCTTAAGCTGCAGTTAAAAGGCATAAAACTCATGCGCGCCGTTTGGCGATATGTTAAATTCATAATTTCAATTTGAAATTGTTATTATAGCCAGTTTTGTCTTAGTTGGTCTAGCTGAGTTACCTCCCTATCTCTACCCCTGCCCCTTGCACACGCCTCATTATTATTGACAGTTGCCGCCGTCAGAGATTTTTCGTTGTTGTTGTGGCTGCTGCTGCTGCTGCTGTTATGGCTCTCATTTTAGTCTCATAAATATGCAAATTAATCATTTGCGGAAATTTGCATACTTAATAAGTTGCTTTAATTAAATGTTCACGCACGCATGCCACACAATCTTTCCCCCAGGAATCCTTTGGCCCGCGAATCCTTTTACGGCCCAAATGCCATTTTAAAGCGCCAACTTGTTAATTGCGCGAAATCCCCAACCCTGTGAGCCCACTCGAAAAAAAGAGAAGCTCGGAAAATAATAAAAGAAAAACAAATGTAAAAATATGTTAATAAAAAAATAAAGAGAAATACGAAGCAAAAAGAAAAACTCTATTTCAATGGAAAATATCTACTCAAATTTGTAGCCAGCGCCGGATTGGCCAACTGTTTGCCTCGTAATATTTTGGGACACAGTCACGTACCAAATAGCCGCAGAGTCCCAAAAACAAAACAGAGAACGAAAGAAACAAAATAAAAATCAACAATATGAATAAAGACAAGTAATTCAGCAACGATTGAGAGCAATGCTGTAAGAGATACCCAGCATCAGTGCGACTCCCGGTCAATCGAGGAGAAAATTAATGATAAGACTTTGGCATCAATCAAGGAGAGACTGAATACAGAGAAAATATCACTATCTAACAAAAGTTTTTATTACAGCTATAACTCCACTAGAGATCAGCTAAAAAGTGTAGACGAAGAAGGTGTAGAAAATATATGTAGCATACTTAATGGGATACGGAATAAGCCAGATAAGCCCAGTTAGTTATACCTAGTAATGGATCAAATGAAATGGTAGTTTTTCCATTGGAAATTGAAAGGAAGCTCATTTTAAAATACAATCTAAACGCTTTCTGCGCCCGCTCATCAGTATGCTCCACGTCACAATTTATAGGGTATACAAACAGTTCTTATCTGCATAATGCTAGCAACTTTTATTATTTTTGGTTCTCTGCTTGTTATTTTGTATGTGTACAACATCTTTTTTTTTTCAAAATGAACAGCATCTGAAAAAGCCAAAATAAGAATCTACAAAGAAGTATATATCTTTTATATATATATACACATATATATTCTTATATATATATGCAAACGGCGAGGCGCAGCCGACATAAATTAACATTTTTATGCGCCGCTGCAATGAACGAAAAGGACGCCACGCAGCAACAGCAACAGCAGCAGCGCCAGGAGACGAGCAGGAGATGGAGGAGCAGCAGAATCACAGTCAAAGCATAAGCTTCAAAATGGGCGCTTCTCTTCTCTAAGGTCCCGCATTATTTACGATGGGGGCTGACACTGCCAAAACAGGGCGTGAAGATGAGTGGGGTATGTGTATGTGTGGCTGTTGTTGTTGTATGTGTGTGTGTGTGTGAGTGAGTGTGTGTGTATCGCTGCGTAACCATTCACATTTCTTCATTACATTTCATTTTATTTCAGTTCACAACATTGCGAGAGCCACGTTTATTTATTTGCCATTCGGCAGCGCCTTTGCCCTTTGCCTGGCTGGCAAATAATTTTAATTGGTTTTGCCCCGACCCCTCCCCTCCCCCACCGGTCCTGTCCTCGCGCCCGCACACGCTTCGATTCGAAGGAAATGATGGTGAAGTGATTTCAACTGCAGTGCGCGACTTTATATGTATGTGTGCGTGTGTGTGTGTGTATGTACACATCTATGTAGATATTTATTTGCACATCTCTTGTCATGTTTGTAGATCTTATTATAAAAGTTGTAGTTCTTCAATTCAACATTTGTGCGGGTATGCGTGTGTGTGTGTGTGTGCGCTCTTGGCAACCGCAATTGGAAAATCAATCAATTCATAATTTGCATAAATGCGTGAGTGCCTGAGTGTGTGTGTGTGAGAGAGTATTTACATATTGCATGGCTTTTGACTAGTTCATTTGCACACTGATAATAAACTTGAGCGCAGAAACATTTATATATAGAAGTATTATCAACATTCATATTAACGTATGTATAGATATACATATATGTATGTGCTTACATACATATACTTTTATATATACACATATGTAAGTTTGTAGCTCACATATTTGACATTTAAATGCATTGAACTGCTGCAAAAACAATGTTATTTTTCCATCTCAGCAAATTGCAAGTTGGCTGGAAAATTTAATATTGCTGCATTGGCTACATTGCATTTGCGCAATTTGGCAAAAATATCTTTTGTGAAATATGCTTAAAATGTAGAGTGTTTCTACGAGTAGAGTAGAGTGATTCAACGAATAATATATTGTCGCTAAATAGATATTTTTAAGAGTCTTAGCTTAGATTCACCATTAAAAAGCTGATGACAGATATAAGGAGGCTCTCCTCTTAAAAAGTCTATCAAATAGTAATAAAACCTCACAAACAAAATTTGCATATGAAAAGCAGTTTTCTCTGTCAGCAGCAGCTCGAACTTTTTTTTTTTTTTTTTTTTTACGTAAAAGTTTAAAAACTTTGCTGAATTGCTATATCATTTACTTATATGAACTCATAATATCCCACTGCTGCAGGGTATATGAGCAACAGAATCTTAAGTTTTAATAATAAAATTAAGCAAACAACAAAATTTGAAATATATTCTGCTTATATCAATATAATATTGAGAAAAAATAATAATAATAATACATAAACCATCGCTCAATATTTAAACATAAATTTACTACAGGGTATTGCTGCTGCGACACTTAAAACTCTTCAGCAACTCTTTCATTCAATACAAATGCTTGCAAAATTAATCGCCTTACAAGTACTTTAACCATATTTAACAGTTACATAGCTCAAAGTAAATGTGAAAGAGTGAGATAGACATAAAATTCACTTACTTGCATGCAGCTCACTTCCAATAGATTTTCCAATTGCTTTGCCGTTTACGCTTTGCCAACAGATCCTTTGTTTTCGTTTTGTTTTTGTTTTTTTGGTTTTTGTTGTTTTTATTTTCCTATTTGCGCTTATGCTGTACTTATCAGCAACGCTCCGTTTCACTTTCAGCTTAATGCTGCTTCTGTTGTTGCTGTTGTTGTTGTTGTTGTTGGTTAACACGCCATTGTTTAGTATGCGGCGTCCATCATTTAGAATTCAGCGACACATATACAATAACAAGACACAGACACACACAAAGCTTTTGTTCTTGTTGTTGTTGTTGTTGTTGCTGCTGCTGTTGCTGCTTGGCACATTTTGCAGAAAGAGAGAGCGCGAGAATTCATTAGGCATGCGGGAATTTTAATTTCACTTGCTCACACACGCGCACATATGTGGCGACATATTTCTCAAACATTTTCGCTGCGTGTGACGACGGTGACGGTGACGGCGACGGCGACGGCGAAGGCGAATCGGCGACGTCAGTTATTTATGTTGCGACGGCTGCTACTGCGGCCGATTATTGCTGCTGCTGCTCCTTGTTCTGCTGGCGTTGGCGTTAGCTTTGTATTAGTGTTGTTGTTTTTGCCTAGACGCTTTGCTATTTGCATGCTGCTGCTGCTGCTCCTGCTGGCTGACCTTGGTGCAAAGTGCTAAAAAACTATGCCACACACTCACTAGCACACACTCACACAACAATAGTGCGAGCCAACGACCGCAACAACAACAACACGACGCGACGTTGACAGCTGTCAAAACTGTTCGAAGCGCGTTCGTCTCACTCACTCACAGACGCACAATGCAAACCGCGACAACCTGCGGCGGCCGGTACGGCGAAATTTTCACCAGAAGCAGAATAAAGTAAGCTGCGATGATTTCCATGCTGTGCAAAGAGAGAGAGTGAGTGAGAGAGGGTGGCTGGCTAACAGTAACAATACAAGAGGTGTGGGGGGAGGGGGGGGAGCCGTACACGTTTAATGTTCAAGTCAAGTGCGAAGCTTATGCGCCTCGCAATGTGCGCGTGAGTGCGTCTGTTTCTGTGTGTGTGTGTCTGAGTGTGTGTTAGTATGTCGTCTATGTATTGGTGTTTTTTTTTTTTTTTTTGCTTGGAACGTTTGCTACGGTCTTTCTTTTGTTCTACGCGCACGCGGGCGCTGCCAGCCTGATGACAAATTTTTCGCACACGTTCGCCTTGTTGTTGTTGCAAGACAAACACAAAACTTCCAGTTGTTTTTTTTCTCTTATTATTTTTTTAACTGTCGCTGCTGAGGATTTGCTTTCCCTTTCTGGCCGCCTGCACTCTGTAGCGTTTTTATTGCTATTTCCTTTTATTTTCTTTTTTCGAGATTGGATGCTGCTATTACTATTGCTATTGTCCTTTGTCTTGGCTACGCTTTGTTGTCTGGCTGTCTATATATTATCTTTTTTTTTTTTAATAATTGGCAACGCTGTCGCTGCTGCTGCTACTGCTACGGCTGCCGTTTCTTTTCAGCGCATTGTTTGCATAATTTGGCGAGAGGCTAGCGCCTGCAAGTGCCGTTAATCCTTTCACTTTTCCGCTTTCGCTTTTACTTTCCGTCAGTCGCATGCACTTGGCTAACGAGCTGATGATGATGATATTGCCGACATACCGACAGAGCGAGAGGGGAGGTGTGGACATGTGCGAACATGATACCCATTAGCACGTGGCAATCATCGTCAGCATTTAGCATCGATTTGACAGCGTGAACCAAACGGAATGACGGCACAACGGAACAAAGATGGCCCGCCCGCTGACCAATTCGAATTTTCGTCTGCCTAATTGCGTTTGCTTTTTGGCCCACAAACAGCTGGCTCGCTTTACAGCAATTCAAGCTTTACCGTAATTTTTCCGCACCAATACGAATGCAAATTGGCCAAAATCACATTATAAATCCTGCCACGCATTGAACGACGTTCGGCTAAAGTGCGGCACTTTTATTTACAGTTATTCGCGTTTTTACTTGCTTTTTTATTCGCCCGTTATTCGTTGAAACTCGCGCACGCACATATTAAACGATTTAAATTTCAGCTATTTTTTTCCACGACTGCGTTCACTCGGTCCACACGCTTACATTTTTATATTCACTTTATTGTATTTCCCTTTCTTACATTTCTTTTTCATTCTGTGTATATTTTCATCTCCGCGTTGCGCGTTCACAACACCGCACAGACTCCGACTATGAACTGGCGAGTGCTTGTGGATGGCTCTACAATTTAGTACTGAGATTCAGTGAGGCCTCCTCTTCGGCTAGGGCACTCAATTGTGTGCGTGTGTAGAGTTGCGCAGGATGCTGGGCGCTCTCGTGTGCGCTTTCCAGCCCAAAACCGCCGCCTGCCGAACGCGCCAACTAACAGTTGAAAACTCTCCACACCCAACATACCGCTATCTATGTTGCGCACTGTTAAGCAGGTGGAGTACTTTATGTTAGTGAGCAACATGCTGCTGTTATGTGCAGCGCTCAGCTGATATTATAACCTATCGATATGCGCAATAACGTTGCTCTCCATCTTATCGATAGTATCGTTGGCACATTTCGTACGACTCTGGCCACACAGACGTACAGCGAACGTGAGCCGAACGGCAACCATCTTTGTGAAAAATACCTACGAGTCTGGAGAGCAGTCGGTGTAGGAATTAAATAATTTCTGCGGCTTATAAAAAGTTAAAAATATAAAAAAAATTAACGATGATTTCTGCTCGTTTGGCATCGTCGGTCGCACGCAACTTGCCCAAGGCGGCCGCACAGGTATAAAAAATCATTAAACGAGTAAAAGAATCAAGAAAAAAAAGTTGCAAAAATGCAAATATATAAAACATACATAACCGAAACCAATTGGCCATTGATTCCAACTCCAAACTCTAATGTTCAATTAAAATCCTCTGAATAACTCAAGCTTTGCTTTTCCATTTGCCAATTATATTTGACTTAGTTTTGGCCAAAGTTTTAGTTTTGTGTTACGCAATGCCGCACGCAAAAAAAAAATTACATAACACATTGAGTGTTCTGTGTGCCAGTATTTTGCTAATTTAAAGCTCTTCAAATCGAAATTGAAGTGAAACATTTGCTGTTATGATCTGTGTTTTCATTAAAAACGGTTACATAAGTTTTATCAACGGGGCTCAGCTGCAGTCGCTGCCGCTTCTGCTGCGTGTTGGCCAAGCAGAGTTTGAGGTTATGTGGGTGTGCTTTCAAGCAAATCAGCCAATTGGCAAAGAAGAATATAAACCTATAAAGCAAAACGAAAAAACGACAGAATTTAATAATATCTTCCAAGTGTAATTGAATTGGTGTAAATTTGTTAGGTCTACCGGTGGCCTGCTTATGGCTGCTTTGCTGTGTGTTAGAGTGAGATAGCAGCTGTTCTGCTCATGTGGTTATTCAATGCTGCCCCCACCCCCACCTCTCTTCTTGTAGTGCCTTTGCTCCTTATATAAGATAAGCTAATGCTTGGCATCTATTCCACAGGTTGCCTGCAAGGCTGCATATCCAGCTGGAACTCTTGCTGCCCGCAAATTCCATGTGGCCAGCACACAGCGCAGCGCTGAGATCTCCAACATTTTGGAGGAGAGAATCCTGGGCGTTGCACCCAAGGCCGATCTGGAAGAGACTGGCCGTGTGCTGAGCATTGGTGATGGTATCGCTCGTGTGTATGGTCTGAACAACATCCAGGCCGATGAGATGGTGGAATTCTCCTCGGGCTTGAAGGGCATGGCCCTCAATTTGGAGCCCGACAATGTCGGTGTTGTCGTCTTCGGTAACGACAAGCTGATCAAGCAGGGCGATATTGTCAAGCGTACTGGTGCTATTGTCGATGTCCCCGTCGGTGATGAGCTGCTCGGCCGTGTTGTCGATGCTCTGGGTAATGCCATTGACGGCAAGGGCGCCATCAACACCAAGGATCGTTTCCGTGTCGGCATCAAGGCCCCCGGCATCATTCCTCGTGTGTCTGTGCGCGAGCCCATGCAGACTGGCATTAAGGCTGTCGACTCCCTGGTGCCCATCGGTCGTGGTCAGCGTGAGTTGATCATCGGCGACAGACAGACTGGGTGAGTGAACCCCTTGTGGATCCCTCCAACTCCAATTTACTGGTCACTCATACATTTATATTTCTACTTTACAGTAAGACTGCCCTGGCTATCGATACCATCATCAACCAGAAGCGTTTCAACGACGGCCAGGATGAGTCGAAGAAGCTGTACTGCATCTACGTTGCCATTGGCCAGAAGCGTTCCACTGTCGCCCAGATTGTGAAGCGTCTCACTGACTCCGGCGCCATGGGATACACCATCATTGTGTCTGCCACCGCCTCTGATGCCGCTCCTCTGCAGTATTTGGCTCCCTACTCTGGCTGCGCCATGGGTGAATTCTTCCGTGACAAGGGCAAGCACGCCCTGATCATCTATGATGATTTGTCCAAGCAGGCTGTTGCCTACCGTCAGATGTCCCTGTTGCTGCGTCGTCCCCCTGGTCGTGAGGCCTACCCCGGTGATGTGTTCTATCTGCATTCGCGTCTATTGGAGCGTGCCGCCAAGATGTCGCCCGCTATGGGTGGCGGTTCCCTGACCGCTCTGCCCGTGATTGAGACCCAGGCCGGTGATGTGTCCGCCTACATTCCAACCAACGTCATTTCGATCACTGACGGTCAGATCTTCTTGGAAACCGAGTTGTTCTACAAGGGTATCCGTCCCGCTATCAATGTGGGTCTGTCTGTGTCCCGTGTCGGTTCCGCTGCCCAGACCAAGGCCATGAAACAGGTTGCCGGCTCCATGAAGCTGGAGTTGGCCCAGTACCGTGAGGTCGCTGCCTTCGCCCAGTTCGGTTCGGATTTGGATGCTGCCACTCAGCAGCTGTTGAACCGTGGTGTGCGCCTAACTGAGCTGCTCAAGCAGGGCCAGTATGTGCCCATGTCCATTGAGGATCAGGTATGAATATCATGTTATACTTCAGATCACTGAGAACACTATACCATACTCTCCCCACCCACACCTAGGTTGCTGTCATCTACTGCGGTGTGCGCGGTCACTTGGACAAGATGGATCCCTCAAAGATCACCAAGTTCGAGAAGGAGTTCTTGCAGCACATCAAGACCTCCGAGCAGGGTCTGCTCGATGGCATTGCCAAGGAGGGACAAATCTCTGAGGCTGCCGATGCCAAGCTGAAGGACATTGTCCAGAAGTTCATGTCCACCTTCCAGGGTTAAGCAACAACAACAACAACAACAACAATGGAAGCAGAAACGTGCAGTCATATCCTAGATATGGAGCAGAAACCACCAACAAATCCTTTCAATCTAATAAATAAATTACTGTCTAAGCCGCTAGCCGCGTTAATAATTGATTTAAAACTGCCCAACTGCGCGTCGATGATAAGCAACAACAACAGCAAGAACAACAATATCGTCGAAAAGATAAAGCCAACACTCTATACGCCATAAGAAAATACAAACAACATAAAAATTATAAAACTTAATGAAAAAAAAACCTTTGCGCATTCATGTTTTCCTTTGCTGCACTTCTCGTGTCTCGTCCTTTGCCACATACTAGGGAGAGAGAGCGGGACGGACGCGGGAGGCGTCTCAGCGAACGGATGCCACTTCGAATTTCAGCATTAGCCACACTTCCCCCCACTAAAATGATAATACTGTTTAAAAATCTATAATCAATATTTGACATATTGTAATCGAGAATAGTCGAAAAAGTAAAGTTTGTGGATGATTGTGAAACGATGAAAATAAAAACGATACTATAATTAACTTAACCATACGATGGCACTATTCTATATGTATATATATACACCTGCTATTTGCATAGTTGGGGAAGAATATTATTTTATTGAAGCAGTTCGGAAAAGTTCCAATTATATAGTCGAGCTTATTTCTGGAAATATGGACTTGAGCGATAGAAATAGATACTATATATTTGTCTTATATGATTTGTTTTAAAATTTAAATAGATCTATAAATCATTGACCTACTGACTGACAGCTCAATCAATTTAAACTATATATGGGCTGAAATATATTAATGAATTTATACTCTTCAATTATATGAAAAATTCCCTTTGCTGTCTATGAAAGGATTCTCCGCAATTGGCCTTTTATATATTTTGAATTATAACTCGTTCTCTTGAGGGCAATAAAAAGCCTCGAAACTTAATACAACATTTTTGGGTATTTCCCACTTCTGTTCAAAGCAAAATTAATTTGATAGTGCATTACCGGAAACTGGCTTCTGGGTATAACTATTAAAGGCCTAAATCTTATACATTGCTAAAATATGCATAGTTTAATAAAGATTCCTCGTAATCCAGCCATATAATCCCCCAAACGCAATTCAACTTAGCTCACCTTAAGTGAGCCCAGCTCTAACATCTTGCTAGACATTCCCATAGCACCTTTTCGGATGTCCTAGGTAAACAATGACCAAAAGATGTTGCTAATTGAAATGCTGTCAGAGGCAGACACCAGACAGACAGCCAGACAGGACGAGGACCTTTTAACTAAGCTGTGCACAGTCTCAGCTGATCCGTTGGGCAGCAGCAGCTGTTGCTGCAGTTCTCTTTCTCTGCTTTGTGTCTCTTTCGTCTCACAACCTTTCGCAGTGACCTTGCAGCCGCGCAGCAGGATCTGTTATGCGGCAACTACCTGGACAAGGATAACAAATAAAGTGAGTCTGGTCTGGTCACAGTTCACTAGACGCCGTTTCACGCTCTGCATATTTGGGTAACAGCCAAGCAGAAAAGGGCGCAAGGCTCAGTCGACTGCAGATGCCCATATCCAGGACTGTCGACTCCTGCCGAGGGGCTCAGAAGGAGTACCGCAAAAAATGACTGCGATTTGTCAAAGAGCCAACAAGCGAGAGAGAGTGAGAGCGAGAGAAAATGTCTAAGCGGCACTCCAATGTTGTTGCCGTTGCTTCTCCGCTTTCTTTCTTTTTTATTGCATTTGTTTGCTCGTAAAAGTGTCGAAATTAATGAGCGCTATAAAACCGTCAAACTTGAATTTCGAACAGGCGAACAGAAGCCCCAGCAGCGAGTGCGGCGCAGTCGCCGCCATTCGCACTCACAGTTCAGCTCTCGGTCATACGCATACACACACACAGAGAGACACCCGCTCACACACTCACACACGCGCACGCAACACATTACCATACACGTGCGCGTGCAGACAATACCGACGTCGCTGCCGGCGTTGAGCCAATGCGCTGCCCAGGCAATTGCCATAA